ACTACTAGATAAACAGGAGTGTGTGGAGTAGGGAAACTTGCGTAAGATTTCGCCACACATGGGGAAACGAACCCAGGTCCTCTTGCTTGCGAGGTGAGCGGGTTAACCATTATGGTACAGGACTCGATTCTATACAATAATATATCTTGTGTAACAAGATTTTTAAAAAATCACTTAGAATAACAACAGTTGGCATTGATATAGTTCCCTTCAAAAGGATGTCTTGCAGTCCTTCTCAGAAACTTAGACACAAAATTACAATTTACTGTTTTTTCCAAGTATTCAAAGGACAACATATTTTTGGGTTGTTTCTCTCCCCTCTTTCCTGCAGGCATTAACTGGCTGTGAGGTAAATCCTAGCTGTCCCATGTTATATCACCCACGTAGCCAGTCAACATATATGAGTTTAGCCGTGAGTGTTTGCAGGCTATCGACCGCGCAGGGTGATCACTGTTGTTCTGGATTCTGTTCTCACTCAATGTCCAATCATATGTATCTCCAGCAAGGGATAGCAAACAGGAGCAGGAACTATGGATGAGTTAGCTTTATCAATTGGGATGTTCATTACAGGAATTCATTGCAGGAACCTGAGGTTCATTTCCTCCCTTGGGTGACTCAACAGACTGTGTTGAGTCTGAAACTCATCACACAGTCCCTTCATCTCGCTTTCTCCCTTGCCTCCTTCAAGGCTGGTCTCAAGACCCTCTTCTTCGATCGTGCCTTCCCTCACCCCTATCCCTCCCCTCCCCGATGCTCGGGTCCTGACCCCGACTGTCTAGCGCCTTGGGAGGTCCTCCTGACGTGAAAGGCGCTCTATAAATGTAGTTTTGTTGTTGTTGTTGTGATGGGGCAACAACAAAACTTGCACTCTTCACGTAGGATAATATATTGTGAACTTTACAAAGATGGAGAGGGGAGAGGTAACCGTAGGCATTGTCAAAGAGGAAGCTTTTAAGGCAAGACTTAAAGACAGATAGAGAGGGAGTGAGATGGAAGGGTAAAGGGAGGGAGATAAGTTGTAATAGCCTTCATCAAAAACTTTCTTTTGTTTAAACTGTCATGTAATAACACGAGCAGGAAATGCTAAAAGAATAAAGTAGATGTTTGAATAGAAAATAGGACATGCCTCTTTCTAGGTTTAGTATAATTTTAATGTCATTAAAAATGGGTAAATAGAGTTTTATTTTATGTTGCTGAACTGACAATTACACGGTATGGAAACAAATCAACATGTTTCCACCTTAGATAGAAAACGATGTCATTAAAACCATCGGGGATATTATCACTGAAGGATTGCACCATGATTTGACTGACAAAGTAGGGTTGGGTTTACTGCAGGGTTATTTATCATTGTGTGCACAGCTAGACTGGAATGTGTGACAAGGCTGTAGGTAGGGATAAGTTTCAAAGCAATTTGTCACTGGAAACTGGAGCAGTTTAGACGTTTGTAAAAATATGAAGTTTGACCAAATTCTAGCAAAGTCATAAACAATGCCAAAAACGTGTTCTTCATTGATGATAATCATACTCTTTATTTTCACTTATACTGTTAATAATAATCCTTGCATTTGTTGTAGAAACTGTAATGTCAAAAGCACTTCATAAAAAAATGCTGTTAAGTACAATGATTTTGTGTTTGAAACACGGCAGGCGTTCTGCAAGAATAATGAAGTGAATAATCAATTTAACTGGAGGGCTAAATTTCTTCTCTTTTTTAATAGTGTTGTGAGCTCTTTGACATCCATCTGAACAGTTGACCAGGCAGGACCTCAGTTTAACATCTCTTCTAAAGGACAGCAGCTCCAACAATTTAATACCCACCCCTAGCAATGCACTGCCGTCTCAATGTAGACTATGAGATAAAGTTCCAACTGTGTGGCTTGAACATAGAGGAAAAAGTGTCACCAACTATGCTCACAGGAAACAATTTTGTCTGAGGTTATATATATGACTCGTGATCTACTGTTACGTTGATTCTCATTACATACTCGTGTCTTTTCTAACTGTATTTCTTGTGGTTCTTCTTTTGTGGCTTCTTTCACTCTCCTAGTCTTTGTATCTCAATGCCTAAGTTTCCGTTGCCTCTGAGATAACCAGTGCACTGTTCTCCAGCTCCGTGACAGCTGTAGACAGACAGCTGTTTTAATCTCTTTGCCTCCAGTGGGTGTTCGTGTATGAATTTCACGGTGTGGTTTAGCTATGGATCAGTGAGTTTATCCAGCGAATATCAGAGAAGGCTCTGTTCTGAGTTGGCTAGTCACAGCCAGGGAGGGCGTAGGAAAGCCACAGTTTGCCTCAATACCATCTCTTTACCACTTAGGAAGAGGAAAGGGGAAAAATCAGACAATTTGCACTCCTGATCCCTATAGATTCCTCTGATGGATGTACAAGTCTGTGGGCATCAGAGAACAGTTTATTTCAATGTTCTCCCCAGCGTTGAATAGTAACTAACATTAAAGCCTCGCACATAAAAAATGACTACATAAGTGAGGTGGGGGGAGGAGGGTATGAATGGGCTCTTACAGATCTCTATTCCAGAATAAGTCAGTCTCACCTTCAGAAATGGAAGGGATAGCAGAAAAATAGTGGAGACAAAGGTATTTACATGGTGGATTAGTAACTGTGTGTGTTTGGGAGGTCAAGAGGGTAGAATAATGTCTGAATTATCTGGAGGTTCTCAATGCAATGCAAGATATGCTTGGAATTGTGATGATCTGAGAGGGCTTCTTTCTGACGATTAGCCCATTCAGACGGCACTTGTTTTTCAAAACCTTATCCAGTCTGAAGTGGTGTCAATCTGAAGACCAAAAACCTGAGCCAGCATGCAACTTGACTCAGGGGGTCAGATGACATTAACCATGAGAATGAGACATCATAGAAGACAATGGGACTTTCAAACTAAAGTCCTGGGGTTGCATAAGTGTATCAGTACCTCCACGTGAGCATTAATCATAAAACAACAGGAGGGGCAGGATAAACTACAGTCAGAGAATTAGTTGTCCACTGACTTCTCTTACCAGCTCTTCATATGCACAGATATTCCTTTCCTGTGTGACTTGCATTGGTTACACCTGCTCATTTAATACCCACATCAATAAAATCCCTAGGATTCCAGCTCATCTTTTGTGATAAAGTGTCACATTGGTATTTTTGTGCTAATGAATTTTTTTCCAGGTGTTCAGGCCAACAATTCCCTAGATTGAAAATTAGTCATTCACTTCATGGTTAATTGTGGGCTACTGGTTGTGCACAAATTGGCTGCTGCATTCACCTACAGATGCAGTCACTTCACTTTACAGAGAACTCTGTGAAGACTTTTGAGGCATTTCAGTGTGATAAGTGCGATATTTCATCTAGCCAATATTTACAAGATCAACAAACTGTTTGGATGAAGAAGGTCTTTCGGCCTGCTTGATCTCATCCTTCCAAAATACCCACCCTATTTTTCTCCCATCAAAGCATCTGGCTGTTTTTTTTAAAAATGAGTCCAATGTCTTGGCCTCAACCCTCCTTCCCTGGTAACGGGTACCAGTCATTAATTACTTTCTGGTGTCTGTCCTAAAATGATCCTTTGTAACTCTAAACCTGGGTCCTCTTGTTCTGTTGTCTCAGTTCATCCCAAAGTATTGCTTTGGGTTTATTTTCTCCATCGCATTATAAACCTTTACATTCAAAGCAATTCTGGCACCAAAAAGGCTAGTATAATAAAGGTATTAGGTATCCAATAAGTCAACGATGATGCATTAACTAGAAGGATTAACTAGAATATGGAGTCAATTATATCTGCATCTTGATCTAATCAAGACATAGTGCTCCCACACCACAACAAACCTGCTTTCAATATCAAATGTATGGAACAACACCTCAAGGACACTTTAAATGTTGCACCTGCCTAGCGGGGGTTAATGATATTCAGGATGGCAAATTACTCTCTGCCACAAACCACATGAAAGGAAATAATTTAAGAGTTTAAAAAAAATTGCACTTTATACAGACCAGAAAATCAAGAATTTGGGAGTGAGGTCATGCTTTTCATGTAAAACACTGGAATTAAACACTGGAATTAAACAATGGAGATTTTATAAATCATAAACCAAAACACCAATGTAGTTTTGTCTAAAACAACAACAACATGATTGCATTTATAAAATAGCAATTGCTAACTAACAATTGTCCATTTTACATCTTTAAACTGTAAAGCATCTCTATGAGGAATGTTAGTTGCAGTTAGCAAACATAATAAAACTATTGGTAAAACTATGTGTACCATGATATCTCTGCACTGCTGAAGGGTGATAGGGTGAAGGGCTATGAATTGAGTGTTTCTTTGGTCTCTGACAGATTAAATAACATGTACTGTTCTTATGAATAAGAGGGTCATTTAGCACTTTGCCTTAAATCTCACAGAATTCTAAAATGAAGGCATTTGATGAAGAAATCTAAACTGATCAACAGTTCAGCCCAGAATACATGATCCTGAGCAGAGATACAAGAGAGGATTCATTCCCACATAAAAACCTTGCTAGGCTAACGGTTAAAGTTTTGGAGCAGACAGCAACACAACAGCAATACTGACGATGCATGACAATGCTCCACGTGCAAAATTAATAGGTACGTGCCTCCCCATTCTTGCATAGTGCGACAAAGGGTTGGGAGGGGGCACTTCCTATTGCTTCCAGGGTTTTTGACATATGGGATCAATATGTGCTATGCAAAGTTAAACACTTGTAAATAGAAGCGCATCACACTCCATACATATTCCTCCGACAGGCTGAATTGGAAGGGGAAGGTCTCTTTGTTCTGGGGCTCTGCTTACCCATCCACAGACCGACAATTACTGTTTACATGGCTTTCTTCTCAGTTGTTTGCCTATGGAAAAGAGGGGGTGTGAATTTACCCCGTACAAAGAAAGAGGCCCTGACTACAGCTAATAACCAATAACCTTGCCCGATGCGACCATTAACTTTGTTGGGAAAAGCAGCAAGTGAGTTGAGCTAGGCACTTGCCATAATAACGTGTTTGCTGCTCGGTCATTGGGTTGGGGATCTGAAGATTGTTGTCAGTGTTGGGACGTTCAGTGCTCCATCCACCTCAGCAAGATCTCAACGGGAAGAAACAAAATGAGATTTCAGCACCTCCTTCACATCATTCTTCTTTTATGCACAAGTCTTCTGCTCATCAGTGGACAGAAGTCAGGTAAGAGAATGGTTCATGAACTTTTAGTAGATAAATCTATTATGTGATACTTATTTGGAGCAACTTGTGCAAAAAACATTGGTTAATAGTACTGCTTAACATATTTGGTTGAAGAGTTTAACGGTGCTTACAAAATAACTAAAAATAGCAATGATTTTAATATATTGCCTTATCACGTCAAAATATCTTTTGATAATGCTTTATATGGTGTAAGTCCTACATTTTTTGAGGATTAGTATTTCATAAGATCAGACTAATCAAAATGTTTTGAGGAAAGCACTATAGTGAAAAATACACTTGTTGCTTTTCACTGTGAGATGGATAGAAAGATATTACTCTCACACCAACAAAAATAGTGAGTGCCTGTCACCAGAAGTAAGTGAGATGTAGTAGAACTGTGTATTCATTTTATTCAGTTAATTTTTAGAGTAAAAATGACTCGGTTTTCTAGAGTTTTGTTACAACTTTGAGCGTATTCAGAGTGCTCAAAAGGAAAGAACAATTCTGTCTTAAAAAGAATCTGTGCTATGTAACGAGAGGTTAATTGACTGAATAGCACAAGTCAAGCCTTCAAGCGTACACAAAAAGGACTGACAATATTCAGGGAACAGCTTTAACAATGTGCTGGGTGCCGGCTGCATTCCTGAGTCCCATCTCTAGAAATGTTCAGATTAATTTTGCAACCTCCCCAAATGTCCCAATTTTTTTCAGGTAATAGTTGGAGACGGAAAAAAATGCAACGACGCAATTGTTGGCACAGACGATGCCTGCCTTTCCATTCGAGAGTTCCCTTTCCTTAAGGCATGGTATGTGTAAAACCCACTTAAATGACTACAACTGCAAATACAATCTTCAACAGAAACATAGTGACTTCAGAAACTCAAATAACGGTCTCTAAACTTTCAGGATGAAGTTTTACTGTGGATTATTTACAATCCTAAAATTCACCTTGGGTTCAAGGTTTTTTTGGTGCCACTATCTTAAAGGGAGTCTGTCTCATGAAGACAATTTAGCAAATTGTTCTTTGTTTACAAAATACACGCTGGAACAATGTGTAAATGCACCATTGCAGCTCCTCCCATGGCCAATTTTTTTTTGGTTTTTTTGAAAATATGTATTTATTTATAAATATATTTAGTACAACAGAAATCCAAAACAAACACAACAACTTCTGTTACAATTTTTCCCTTCCTCCCGATACAAAAACAAACATTCCGTTCTTTATGGTACAAGGTTGTGCACACGTTTTTTGGGACGTGTACACAACCTTGTGCGCACATGTTTACCCTACATACATTTTCAGGACGCTCTTTGGTTACCATGGCCAATGGGTAGGCCAAGTGCTTTGGTGTGGCCGAAAACAACGCAGCTCAGAGGCAGCAAGCTTGATATCTTAGGGGAGAGAAACTCCACCTGAGTCTAGACATGCATTGCCTTTCTACCCAGTATTTGTGAGCATGCGTAACTTGCCAAATTCTTCAATTCCCTCTTAATTTTGAAACCAACAGCTCTTAAAGGAACTGTAAATATTCCAAAGTTCTGCCTGACCTGAAATGTTGAGACAATGGTCTTCAGGTTGAGATCATCAGAAATTTCAGGCTTGTGTGGAGTATGAATTCCTGATGATTTTCCCTTAACCAATTGATGCTGAGTATTATTGCAGCACCTTACATGGTGCTCTGGGCTGAGAGCAGTTAACTCAGCGCATATCAAGCCTGAGATTATGTGGTCCATATGGCTTTGTGCGACAGGTGGTGCATTTGATAATTCCTCTGGGACTCACTGTAGATAATCAGAGAATGTTTTTTTTAAACAAAGTTAATACTTTACTGCTTGAGCTGAATTGACATAAGCAAGCAATCTGAAAGGAAACAGGGGGGAATTCTGGAATGGAAATATGTTCCTCAGATTCTAACGAGAGATAGAAGGTCACAGGATAAAATGCTAGCACAGAGCTGCAAGAAACTTGAAAGCAGAACACAGCCGAGGAGGTTGGGGAGGAATTACGGGACAGGCAGAGCTATCGCAAATAGAGCAAGCAGAGATAGAGGAGAATGGGTAGAACAAGATGCCTCCTGGAGTCCAGTTCAGTACTGGTGGGATGGGTGGGGATAGGGGTAGGGCTGTACTGTTGGTGGTGCCATTTTCCAATTACTAAACTGAAGTCCTATCTACCTGATCTCAGGTGAATGTAAAAGATCCTGGTGTTAGTCAAAAGGAGGGAGTTTCTTCTAGTTTACTGGTTAATAATAATAATAATCCTTGCATTTGATTTAGCGCTTTTCATGTCTTCTCGACATCTCAAAGCACTTCACAGAATAGACTGTGAAGTGAATTGACCGCATATTTGTGGGCGAAACGCGGCAGCCAATTGCGCACAGCAGAGTCCCACAAACAGTCGTGGATTGAAAATGACCAATTTATTATTGTTTTGTTTTGGAGGGATTATTATTAGGCGTGTGGAGTAAGGAAACTTGCCCAAGGTTTCGCCCTCTGCCTGGAATTGAACCCAGGTGTCTTGCTTGCAAGGCAAGTGCTCTAACCACTGAGCGACAGGACTCCACCTAATAATCCTCCTAATAAACTGCCTTAACTAGAAAGTGGAAATCAAAGTCCTGCTTACTAATGATGAAATTTAGCCAAAAGAATTCAGACAATTATATTTTTAAAACCAAAATCTTACAAGAAATTTAACATTTGATTTAGTAAACAAGAAATTGTTCTTCTTAGATGTGTTGCAAACTAGCCAGTGTAAAACTAGCTATTGTATTAGGGTATCCGGGATACACAATATTGTATCGAGTGGATGCTATCTCGCATCAGCTTGTTTGAGACTTTAAGACCTTACCAACTGCAAACATTGCTAATAGTTGTCAAAACTATTCCAATACATTACAATCGAATGACGAATCCTCTATAATTGTTTTACTTTCTCAATGTATATAACTATCAGGTTCTAGGTCCACCAGTGGATGCTTACTGTGATATTAACTGAAGTTGAGTGAAACTTCAGAAGAGTTGAAAAGGGAGGTGTTTACAGTTCATGCAGCCACTTGAAGGGACTCCAGCAAACGGAGGAATCTATAGAAGCTTAATTACGTTTGCTGAACAAAGCAAACAAAGGCTATTAGCAGTCCTGAGGAGACAGGGCATGTGGAATGCAGCAGAATGTTTGATTTGCATGATAATTCCACAAAATCTTACATCTGTTTGGAGACAAAGATTGCAAACTCCACCATGGCTCTAAATTAGGTCCATTGATAGCCTAATGGGTAGTGGCACCATCTGATGCAGCATCAATGCTGGGTATAGAGTTTAGGGCCTTTTATGTCAGGTGGATGTCTCAAAATGCTTATCTCTACTGACTTGGCACCCATACTGGGGGTGGGAGCCAAAGGGGGTAGGGAGGGGACCAAAAACACGCCATGTAGAAAGTGCAACAACAACAACAAGATTTCATTTATAGAGCGCCTTTATAGAGTGCATTATCCTTCTTAGCTTAAAGCAGACTTATTCATTCAGCCCCTGCACATCCTGAAAGATTATTGTTCAGGTTTGTATGTAAATTCTATTGAATCCCATGTCCACTTAAAGATGAAACTTCAGGACTTGCAGTAGAACTGCATAAGGATGGTTTATTGTACTATACAGTGGAGGGTCAGTGCAATTTAGTTTCAAAGTACTGTGACATTAATTTACATCGTTAGCTGTCAGAAACCCACAGTAGTAGTTAAGAGATTGAGCTGTTTCTATATACTAATTGTGCTTTTCTCTCCCCATAATATAGTTACTGTAAGAATTGAAGGGATCCACAGCAGATGAGCCAATCCAAAGCCAATCCTGAATATCTGCCACAGAAACAACAACTTGCAGTTTTATATAGCACCCTTCACGTAGGGTAGTATCCCAGAGCTTCCCGAAGCTCCACTTCCATCCTTTGAGGAGGAGAAATTGTATACGCAGAGGCCTTTTACTTCTATTGACTCACTCAGATCGGAAATATGATCAATACTCAATAAGCCAGCCCAATTGCGTCACTCGACAGTTAAAATATCACAGGACTCAGAAATCAGAGATGCAAAGAGAAAATACAGAGGATCTGGAAGACTGACTTTAATTGTGGTTTGCCAGAATTACACCAAATACTTTCCAGATAAACTTTACAATTCAAAGGATCTAAGGCCAGCCAATGTACATGCCACCTGTCACCAATTGATCCAAAGTACACTGTTCAATATTTAACGGTTTAAATCCCTAAAAGGACATGGTTCAACAATCTTAAATCTCACATTTAATATACCTACATTGTAATACTGTGAAATAAAATGTCACTATATTTACCACTACTAACTGCATTAACATCTCAACAGTACAGCATTGAAGTGCTTTTTGTTGTTGTGGTGAAGGTGGAGGAATAGAAGTGAGATGTTACTGAGATCTGTCCAAGGTTCACAACAAGAGGCCCATACATCTGTGAATATCATTCCTGGAACGTCCTTTCATTAGAAAGTAAGCACTCTGTCCAGGTAAGTAGGCCATTACCGATGGACAATGAATGGCATTGTAATTGACTCATCACAAATGGACAAAAAAGGATTCAAATGCAGAGTCAGAGTAAAATATGCATGTGCCATTTCAACGAGGAAATTGCGAAGCTTTGTCTATGTGGAAGAAAAAAAATCTAGGGCTTCAAAGCTGTTTATAATAACAAGTCAGAGGACATTAGATCACTAAAGAGCATACCTGCACCTCTCTTGTGAAAGTTTGTTAAGAAGTTTCTACCTTTCCTCTTATTTTAATAGAAATTACTATCTAGTCGAAGTAATGCTGTCCCATGATGCATACATTCACTCTACAGACTAATTCAGAGATCAAGATGTGCTAATGTTTAATACTGTGGGTACGCCACTTAGTATTTATTAGAGGCACTATAAGTATGTACACTATAGGTTACATTCTCGGTGGCAGTCTGAGTAGTCTGATTCCTCAGCTAGCCTGTCTCATTAGCAGGATATGGAAGGGCAGACTGGGGCTCAGCTCCTGTTCATCCTGAAAGCCAAAGCCCTAAGTCAAAGTGTCACAACAGCAAGCTATGTGATTTTAGCTGGATGAACTCCGGCAAGGACTCCCAATGCACATCCTGGGAGCTCTAACACTTGGCCTCGCCGACCTAATACTTACTCTCCAGAATTAGGTAAACGGGCTAACACCCTCCAGGGAGAGGGTGTACATTCCAGTCCTTGCACAGGGAAATTTCCATGCATAGATAACATGAATGTGCAGGACTCTTGGTTGGTTATGCTTAAGGCTGGTAATGAGTCTCCTCATATGTCAGATCCCTGGCTGACCAAATACAATGTTATATTACAACTCATAATCTAGTTATTTTTACTCTAATTGTAGAACTCAGTTGAAGGTACTCCCAATGTGTACATTTTCAAAAAGCCTAATTTGTTGTTTAATTTTTATTGTTATGTTTGTCTGACAATTTTGCCAAAAAAAAGGAATGAGCACATTTTTATTTCTTAGCATCTTTCCATACTTGTACTTGTGGGGAAAAAAATGAATCATTCATATACTGTACCAATTTTATTAAATAATGCGTTCTAAAAGTTCAAATGTAGCAATTTATTGTGGACGTGCTCAGTGGAAAATTTGGCAGAACATATGAAGTTGCGATTCATCCTACAGAGAAAGTAGAAATTGATAATCTTCAACCAGAACTCCATATGAATCTCACCACAGGGAACAGGAGGATCCCAAGAGCACTGACCAACATTGGATTGTTGATTGAGCTGATATATACAAGTTGTGCTGAGGGTTCTGGTGAACATCCTTGCCAGCAGCTGCGATATCATCCATGTACAGTGTCTCCACAAAGTCCTGTTACCCCCATGTTTTTTTTCCCCCCGTGCACTGACCAACAACTGGAACATGTGGAAGCATGAAGATAATTGTATTCAGAAGTACTTAATTGTATTCAGTGCAAATGTTTAACTGTATTTAGAAGTCCATAGGATCTGTGTGAGCGCTATCATTTTCATACCAGATAATGATCCGTCACCATGTTCGGTGTGATATCTTTCATAACATGGATGGAGCGAGAAGACAAAATGCATCTTTGATAGTTTGTTTCAGCTCCTCCATAGTCCCATATTACTGTTTTGCAACAGGAAGGTAAGAGAACTTTGTGGACACCCTGTAGATTGTAGGCATCAATGGCTGGTCTCAGATAACTATTTAGAAAGAAGAAACATGCATTTTTTTAAAGGACCGTATGCATTGAAGAATCACAAAGCACTTTACAGGGATTTTAGTGAAGTGTGTGTGTAGGCAAATTGGATAGTGGCATGGAACTATATTCTATCATGAAGTTGCTGCCCTGACACAGAAAATGAGAAAACAGAAAATCGTTCAGGTTAGTTCCATGTGATGGGAAATTCTTTTCAGATATTCTGAGTTTCTGAAAGCATTGATTACAAATTTAATTCCCCAGGGTTAACCAATGATACATTGTGAATATTACATGTTTAATAGTACTAGAGTTTATTTGATAAGCAAGTTGGAAATGGAAACAAAACACAACTGGCACATCAACATGTTGAAATGTCCTATTTACCCCAACAGCTGATAATGTGGTCAGGATTAAAGGGGCAACTAGCCCACGACTTCAGTGAGATTAAAATATCCCAACCTTATATTTTCAAATTCCTTTTACCTTCTCCTGAAGACTGGGGTATGGGCCATTGTTACCTGACCCAAGTGCCCACTCTTCTTGTCTGAGCATGGACAGCGTTAGCAAATGATTCAACAACAAATTGCATTTATACTGCACCTTTCACATCAGAAGAATATCCCAAGGCACTGGACAGTGAAGGGTTTGCACCTGAGCTGAGGGTTGGAATAAAGAGGGGTGGATGGCAAGAGGGATGGGGGTGGGAAGGTGACCGAAGGCACGGTTGAAGAAGTTCTTGAGATGGGCCTTAAAGGAGGAAGATGAGAGAGAGGGGCCTCGAGATGGAGTTCCAGAGGCTGAGGGCAGAAAGGCTGAAGGCCTATCCACTGATGGTGGAGCGGGCAGGGACATGGAGCAGGCCAGTGCCTGCCAAGCGGAGGGACCAAACAGGTTGGTAAATGTTAGTAGGTTCAACTGATTCAATTTGGGGGCGCACAGGTCACAGAAGTCTTAGGAGTACTGACATTAACTTGTAATAATGTACTTATAGAAAAAGGCACAAGCTTGTGATGAGGAACATAAAACCGAAGCTAAAATCTCTGTCACCCTCCAAATTTTGGGGACGCCCAAGCCAACAGAACAGGAAATGTATAGATACAAAGCAGCGTTCCTGGCAGATTGTTTGGTTTGAGGGGCTTGGGGAGAGAGGAAGCATGAAAGAGCAAAAACAGGTAGATCAATACAGTGATAACAACTTGCACTTTATATAGCACATTTCACCGATTAACAGAACATCCCATCAATACCATAAACATTGGGCAAAATTATTACTGAATATCAGAGTGACCATAGTACTAAAGAAAAAAATAAACTAATGGATTCAAAACTTTCGCAAGACCATGTTTTATTAAAGTATCTCAAAGTGCTTTAATAAAACCTTTAATTAAATTTAGGATTCAAAGGAAACTCTTTGTCAAATTTATTTCCACTCAAACATCCAGGTTCCGTACCTAGTCTGCATTTACCGCAGATAACGTGACACTAATGGGAGATATAATTGGCTTTAGACTAGTGAAGAAGGGAGAGAAAACCAAGGCATGGGGGGAAAGCATTAGGCAGGGGTCTCAGGCAAGTGCAGTTGTGTGGATATTGAGAGAGGGGACCTGATAGAGGTCTTCAAGATCATGATAGGTTTCGACAGCTGGATAAGGAAAAGCTGTTTCCGCTGGTAGGTGTGTCTGTGACCCGTGGTCACAGTCTTAAGCTATCTACCAAAAGAAGCAGAGGGGAGGTTAGAAATTTTGTTTTCACTCAGCGAGTTGTTCAAATTTGGAATGATCTGCCTGAAAGGGTAGTGAAGTCCGATTCAATAACAGCTTTTTAGAGAGAACTGGATAGGTATCTGGGGAAGACGGGTTTGCAGGGTTATGGGAAGAAAGCTGGTGATTGGGGTTAGTGAAAGTGACTTGCTCTGTCAAAGAGCCGGCACAGACTCGATGGGCCGAATGGCCTCCTTCTGTGCCGTAACATTCTATGAATCTATGAAAAATCTATGAAAGGAAATGCCTCCAACTCTCCTCTCCCCGATGGTTAAAATAGCCTACAAAACAAATATCTGCGTAATAGTATAATACTGCTGTGCACGATTGGTTACCGCGTTTTGCCCACAAAATACACTCAATTCACTTTACATGTATCCTGTGAGGCGCTTTGAAAAGTTTCAATGACGTGATAAGGCACTATATCAAATGCAAGTATTATTATTACATTGAAAGTTGTTAACCCAAAAAATTGTATGTGGTAACATGGTGCATAGCACAGTAGAGTATAGGGAAAAAGAAGCCAAACTCTTTCAGGAGAGTGCAGGTACAATTAACAGAACAGCCCCCCAACCACCACCAAAACCATAAATATTGAGCAAATTTGTTACTCAGAGTGACTATAGTCCTGTAGAAAAATTTGAAGTTAATGGACTCAAACCTTTCACAAGCCCACATCAGTCTGGCACAACACACATTAGCTTAAGGGAATCAAGTTTTGTTTTTTGAATGTGTATTTAGTTTTTTTAAAAAACAGGAATTCTCCCAAATCTGAGTGCAATAAAAATGATGAACTCAACTATTGACATAATATATAAACTTAATGAAACTCGATATTGATGCCTCACATGGTACAAAACTTTGAAATGGACCGTTTCCCAGGGTAACATTCCTCCCACGACGAGATGGCAAATTAATCCCATTTATGTGGAGGCTGAATGAATGAAGAAAGGAACAATCCATCAAAATGGACGAGATCTTAGGAAAATATTTATTATCCAGCAATCAATACCAAGCAACATTTCCAATGTATAGCTGACAATTTTCACATCATTATATCAGAAAAGATAGACAAGTTTGTCATTTCCCACTTCATTTCAGACAGCTGTTTTCAGTGCTCAGTGGAATTTTGCTATCCATTGATCTCAACACTGAAGTGTTGATGGGATCATTATTCAAAACAAAAAACTGGGACATTTACAACTTAACTGGCAAATGATGCCTTTTTTAAAAAAACACACACATCTTTTTATACCTCAAACTTGTTCACAACATTTTTTAGAATATTTCAACAATGATCTCAAAGTATAGTAGCACATGTTAAGATCACAAGAGGAAGAAAGATTTCAACAGTTCTAGCATGTACAGATTAATACAATTTCACACAAATCAGGGAAGGAGGGAAAAGGTGGGGTGGCACAGGTCAGCCAAGGTGAAAACTTTTGTATCACGATAATGCAAGTAAGCAATAGCTTGTCAGAAGGTGAAAACCCCTCCTTAGTGTTTTCAAGTTTGTCATAAGCTTTTGGACGCTTCTGCAGGCTCCAGTGATAAGTCTGACTTCACAATACAATCTTCATTCAGCCATAAATCGAAACAAGCTTCATTACACCGCATTTTTGTCCTATCATGAAGAGTTTATGGCAGGACTGACAGATAACTAGTCCGGAGCACAAGCTCTGCCTCTTTATTCTTTGGTAACTCGCAATCTTCTACTTCTCCTCCTGCGTTACTCTCTTATCTGTTGTGTGGTTAAGCTCAGCAGTCTTTTACTCAGCTGCACGTTGTGCATTGTTAAGTAATCAATGAGGTCGGCTTGCTTTTCCACAAGGTTTTCCATGCTTGATCCATCCCTGTAAAGATAAAATCAAATGCTTTGAAGAACATTGGACACAACTGTGTGCTGTTCCATGCATCATATTCCAACTCCACATTAAATCGTAAAGGGAGAAAATTCCACCTGGGTCATTTCTTTAAAAAAGTTACAGAAAACCAACTTAAAAAATAAGGCCTTATTTAAGAATTTTCTAAATTCAACATTGAAATGCTACATAAACTGAGTAAATCTAGACCTAGATAGAATTTCTCTCCGCATGTTCCTCTCAGTAGCTCAGCCAGTAACAGATTCGAGCAGTTGTTGTTAAGTAAGCCTGGTACACGGCTTGGATTTAGAATGAGAACATCAAGGTGCCTGGCGCGTCACAAGCTGTCCTGAAAATCTACTCCTCTCACCCACCCCACCAGCAGAAGGCAGTCGGTTGTTCAATTGCTGATGACAAAACTCCAGCTTGGGATGCCAGCTGTTGGAAGCCGTTACCTGGAGACTGGGATTGTAAACACACACGCGCATATCCAGGGATTAGTATCCTCCTTAATTTGTATGCAGAGAAGTGAGCAACTGCTGTTCAACCTCTACACTTCCAGCCTCTACACTTCTGATTTGTGGAATCTTTGGTCAACAGGTAGGAATGCAAGTCCCACCTGTGGTCAGGAGGTGGTAATAATGCTCTCACATATCTCATGTCGAGCTGTGCTGTTCCAGCTTGCAGGGAGTTCCTGATACCTGGTATTCAATCCACCTAGCGTGGCCTCAAACCTGTGCTTGATGGATTTCAAATGATCAACTAATGACTATCCTCCTGGGGTATGGGGAGGGAGGTGGGCTCTCCTTGGAGCTTGACAACAGAATGTTAGAATTGAGACAACCCATTGTGCCAGTCTTGGGAGCCAGGCTTAGGAACCCAGACTCTAGGGTACTCCAGGGCACTGCTGATAACAAAAGGAAGCAACTATTTGCAACAACAAGGTCACGCTAATATCTATGAGGTGATTATAATAATTAATAATAATTCTTGCATTTGATATAGCGCCTTATCATGTCTTCGACACATCTCAAAGCGCTTTACCAAATATATTGTAAATATACTGAATTGACTATATATTTTGTGGACGAATCATGGCAGCCAATTGCACGCAGCAATGTCCCACAAACAGTCGTGGACTGAGTGACCACCAATTTTTAAAATTATTTTTGTCCCCAGAAAAGTGATCCGCAAATCGACTAATAACTGGTTCCTACTTACTGCTAGGTAAACAGAGGCATGTGGAGTAAGGAAATTTGCCTTACATTTCACCCTGCCCGGGAATTGAACCCAAATCCTCTCACTTGCGAGCCAAGTCCTCTAACCAAAAAGCTACAGGACTCCACATACCCAATTGTTGGCCAGAATCCTGGGAGAAAAATCCCTTCTTTCTGAATAGATGGTAACTTAAAACAATGTTCTCCCAGTACTGCATTGGAGTATAATCAATAAATAATTTTAAAAAATAATATAACACCTTATATCGAGACATCTCAAAACGCTTTACACTAAACTGTGAAGTGTAGTGACTATTTTGTAGGCAAATTATTAGTAGCCCGAATTATGGAGTTGTGGATGAAAGACTCCATAATCTTTGTCATGATAGAGGGCAAGAAAACCTTTTGGAAAGCTCTCAACTGTAGGAGTAATATCACACCAGGCATCAACCAGCAAGCCATCTAATCCTCGCTTGTTTGCTCACAATGATCCAACCAAGAGCAGTCAGTATTCAGACAGAAGGGCAGGCGAGCTGCAGCCATTAAGGCTACAACACAACACCAAGCAGCATCTGGTTGGGAGGCAGGCAGTCACTTTATTGCTTTTAAGATCAGGTCACTCCAACCTAGATTTAGAAGGCAGATTGAGCGCTATATGATCTTTTATTTCATTATAAATTATTTACTGAAAGAAGCATTCACCTGAATCCAGTCTCAGACACGATGTTAGTGACATTAGGGTATCCATGACGTCGCTCTTCCTCCTGGATATCCGGATATGGCTTAGTGCGATTAAATTTTACGATCTTATCTGTCAAATAAAACGTAAAAAGTCAGACCCAGAATCTCAATGATGTACTGGTCTGCAGCACTGTTTCTGTTTTTGTTTGTGGAATTCAACTGAGGCTGTTCCAGAAACACACTGTGCTTCCTTTTATGAGCCAGCTCAGTCCATTTTGTAGTTATATTAGCGCAGTCAGAGCTAGATGTCTTGCCACCAGATGAGAATCTAAATACCAGCACATCAATGGTCATGGGACATTAACTTTATTGGGGGGGGGGGAAGAGGAGGGAGTAAAGAGGAAGTAACTTGGAAGCAATGTGCTACCATAGAGGTGTCCGGACAAGATTGCGAGGAAACTTTGATCATGGAAGTAAAATACAGCGAAAATATTTGGGATTAAAATCTGACCAGACTACGAATTGAACAATCCATTGAAGGAGCTACATAGGCAGGACTCTGTCATTGTTTCCATTTTATTCCCTTTCTGTCATCATTGAACCTGCCAGGATATAGTTCCACTAGTGCGGACAGCCTTCCAGTACCTCCCGCCAGGGATCATTCTTTACGTGGGACAGTCTGTGCCTACAGGTTAAAAGATCAAAAGAGGGCACAAAAGGAGTCAATTGTCTCTTCATACTACATCAAATGATTGCACTTTCTAGTAGGACTTGTAGGAATCTGAGCCCTGGGACACATTTGTAGCATATCTGCTGCCACCCTACCTCCCTACCCGAGATCAATTAACTCTGGGCAGATGGTCACCAGAGCTGGCAGATTTATCTGTATGAATATGTGGCACAACAAACAGCATATTTACCCACTAACCTACAGTTGGGTGGTGGGTGGGAGGGGGGGGAAAGAGAGAGAAGAAAATAAAGTAAGCACTGGAGCAGCATTTCAAAACTGACCTCCTTCATGTAGATTCACACTGTCAAGAATTAACTGTCCAATTTATAATAATACTAACCTAACTACAGGGGAACAAACAGTATTATCACATATTCAAAGAGCCTGATGCAGGTTAACAGGGACTGAATGAGAAAGTGAAAGGCTCACTATAAGTCCAAAAGCATTTCACAGTGCTACCACTGCCGGAGACATTTTATTGACTAGCGTCCGGGCTGGACTAATGCACCGCAGGTGGGCTTGTTTTCCCACCAGGATTTTAATTCTGAGCGAGACTTTCACTCCTCTGTGGAAAGCAGTGCTCCTGTTCTTCATCTAGCCATAGACCACCAGCTTCAAAAAAAGAACAATTATGGCATGAAATAAGGGGCGTTGTAAAAAGGGTTGTGGTGAACCTCAAATATCAAAGGGCAAGTTTCAAGAAAGAGACCACCATGATCACTAATTTGTGGCTTGCCGAGTCTGTATGGAATCTCTTAAAACCATAGATATCTCAGAGACACACACACTTAAATACATCAGTCCTCAGATGTATATTCTAAAGAGCCTCAGCCAGGTAGTGCTCTTGCTCCTATAAACCAGCTGTTTATTCCTCATTGGTTTCAGTCTCCAAGTGTCATTACCTTTTTGTTTTGGCCCCCATTACAGTACAAAATAAAGTGAGGAATATTTGAGTACTGCTGCACCAAATAAGATTCAAAAAGAATGGCACAGTGTGGATTTCAGAAAATGTAAATTCTGCATTATTGAAACAGTATTGTAGCCAATCAAGGCAGAAACCGCATTTAAAAATGGAGTTGAAGGCTACAAAAACAACATACTTTCACACGCACGCCAATATACTAGTAAAAACATGGTATTAAGTTTGGAAAAGTCCTTTCTGGTTTACAAGTGGTATTAGACTGTTGTCAAAGGGTTTACAGAATTGACGGCACATCGAGTGAAACATGGCCAATTAGTGAACCATTACTGTATGTTTCTTGCACCCTGTTTTTTTTAAATCAGCTACTTTGAAGTGATTAATTTCAGAGACATTTGGTGACAGGTCCAATCCTTAACACTAGTATCAACACAGTCTTCAATTAATTAGACCTGTCAATGCTCAAACCAGCCCAAAGGTCTTTTGTTTCTGAAACAATTCAGTTAACAGATAATCTCCAATGTCATTAGCTGCAAGTTTCTCATGGACATTACTACAGTGTGTGTGTGGCATTTTGCATTTTTTTAAAAATGCAAGTTTTAAAAGAGTTGTGAAAGTTTCATAAAAGGCAGTGCAAAAATCTTTCTTCCCTCCCTCAATTAAAATATAGTTCCCCATTACAGAATGTGGTCCTCGTCATTGTAAGTTGAACAGTCTCTCCCTGAGAAAAAAAGGAAGTACTTTCTGTAATGATATTCAGAAATTATTAAGGTAACAAATTATGCCGCACTGGTAGACAAAAGATGCAATGAATTTGGGTCATAAACAAATTAAAGGTGAAAGCCTCCCAAGCTGGGAGGTTGGAGCTACAGCAAACAGCGAACATTACAAGTGACTGATCCTGAACTCACCCAACATTCACACATTCCAGCAAGCAACACTGAACAGCTATCAGAACAGCAACCCAACCTGATTTTTCCCACCTCCCTAGTCCAGGGACACCGAGACCAGCCATATCACTCCTACTCTAGCTGCGACCTTATTGATCTGCATGACTCAGTAATATAGTTGGTGGTGGGTTGGTTGTTCAGCTGAATTGTTCAAAGATTTCTGGTAGGATCAGTCATTGTGTTTCAGGAAGATCATTCAAAACTCCCCCATCTAGGCCAGGCAACAACAACAACAACAACAACAAGATTCCATTTATAAAGCGCCTTTCACGTCAGGAGGACGTCCCAAGGCGCTGCAAACAGACAAAAAGGCAAGCACACAACCATCCAGAACTCATTAACTTCCCCAATATCAGTGTAACCTATATTTGGTAAAGTATGATATGGTCATTTATCACTTCACATTTGGGCAGTTTTTTCTAAATCAATTGTTAAAAGCAACCGACACAAACTATTGTTTTAATCCAATGGTGAGAATAGAAAAAGCTAAAATAAATCCCCAAATCACTAACTTTTAACCATGATTCTGTGAACAGTGTTGTACGTATTTGGTCCAGTCGTGAGTTAAGTGCATCAATTAACCCCCTCCCTCCACTCTTTCACTTTGAGATATCCTCCCGATGTGAAAGAACATAAGAAATAGGAGGAGTAGGCCATTTGGCTCCTCGAGCCTGCTCCGCCATTCAATAAGATCATGGCTGATCTTCTAAGCTAATTCCATTTACCCACCCTCTCCCCATATCCCTTAATCCCTTTAGTTTTTAAAAATCTATCGATGTCAGGTGCTATATAAATATAAATTGTACTACATTAGAACAAAATGAATATTTCTTACAATGTAAACAGGGTGGTATACCAACCCACACTACACGATCGTTTTCAAATCAGGATGCAGTATAAATTCAGTACACGGGAGCAAATGCAGACATCTCCAATTTTGTTTAAAAATAGAAAAAAACACAAAATGAACTGGAGCGATTTTTCAGGATGCATCCATAATGCAAAATAATGTGACAGACAGCAGCATCACCCTGTTGTGAGAACCAGTCAGAACTGAACCCTTCCTGTGCCTCACCTGTGTAAATGATGAGGCATGCCGAAGAAAAGAAGAGTTCAACCGCCAGGACCCCAAGAGTGATGTTTAAATTCAGACTTTTATTGTCAACTGCAGCTTGGACAAGCAGAAGAGCTGTATTACCTAGGAAGCAAGCACAATGATTAACAATTGGTAACCCTTTGGCATGAGACGGACACTTCTCACATTGAATCATTATCAGCCTACAGCAGCTTTTGAAAATCCTATTTGGCAAATTTGCAAACAAAATATTTCCAAACGGCACAAAAGAGCTGCATCTGTGCGTTTCATCCATAACATATACAGTCAATTCACTTTACAGCATATTCTGTGAAGCGCTTTGAGACGTCTCAAAGATGTAATAAGATGCTATATCAAATGCAAGGATTATTATTATTATGTTGCCTTTTCCAAAAGGATTCGTTATTGAGCAGTAGGAACCCACCTCAACTCCCGATAGCATCTAGTTTGAAAGTGGCCCTCTTATGGGAGAGCAGAGTTCTAGCAGCCAGTGTAATATACTTCCTGTTTTAAGGAATCTTGTAAGAATTGCCATTTATAAGACCCCACTATCCAGTTAATATTGTGAGACTGTACAGATCTCATCCAAAGATATTAAAATCTAGTGGGGAGAAACTCACCTGGGTCTGGAGAGCTCTGGAACTCCCTTCCTCTACCACTGTCTTTCCACCTCAAATCCTACCATATTTTGAACATGCCTATGGTACCCTCTCCCCCCCACTCCGACCTCCTGTCTCAGCATCCAACCCCATAGTTGTAAAGTGCTCCATGACATTATCCTGCATGAAGGTTGCTGTATAAAATATAAATTCTTTAGTGCGCCTCTATTTATGTAGAATTTCAGGGCACCCAGAGTTTGGCAAATTCCAAATACAGATTTAACTCTCAAGTCTGTTTTCTACAAATTCTTTCAAGATTTACAGAAAAACAACTTAAAATTAAAGTAAATGTAACAATTCCCCAAATTGTTAAATTCTACATAAATGCTGCATAAATAGAGTAAATCGGATCCATGTGGAATGTTTAGCGTTTGGAAGTTCTTATTGATGCGTATTATTGACATTCTGTTTGGGATCAATGTGCAGCCGCTGAAGCCCAGACAGCAGTACATCCTCAGCACAACCAAACATGCACAACATAAGAGCTAAAAATCCAGACTAAAAGACTGACCACAGAATTCCACACTAGTTCAGGTCACTTGAAAGGAATAGAGCAGTGACCAAATAGTTATTGCAGTCTCTAGGTATTTTACAGGTATCCATGTGCTATGACCCATGTATTATTACGGTATTCCTCTGCCTGTGCCACATTGCCCGCCTATATTGCACAGCAAATGCTGGAAAACACTTATTTAAGCCTTCATTACTTCCTGTTTTGACTTTTCTAATGCACTCCTTGCTGGTTTCCCTATATCTACTATTCATAAGCTACAACTCAATCTTTCACCATTTGCAAAGGGATTTAAACCCTGAAGCTATTTAGTTTAAATGCTGAGGGATTATAAAAAAATGTCTTAAATAAATCCCACGTGTAACAGTACTATCTGGTTTACCCAGGCAACTAGGTTACCAGTCTGATGTCACTTGTATACAAAAGAGGTACATTTTCTGTACTTCTGAAGATTGTTCAATTCCAGATTGCCACTAGATGGAGGCAATGTCATATAAGTGCTTTGTAATGAAACATTTATGCGTATTACCCATGTGTGTGGGAGGAATAGGACACTATTCTAATAGAACAAGTCTGAAAGGAATGAATCACAAAGGTAGTTGTAGCCATCAAGATGCTTTGGACCGTTGAGCAGAAAAACGAGATTTCTATGCAGGATTAGGTGGTGTGCAAGAATATTTTCAAACCTTGTTTTCTATCCATAACCTATCCTGCATCAGTCAGAGATGGGTGCAACCTGAAAAACTGTGCAGAGTGCAGTATGTTTGGTGAAAGAGCTGGAATTGACCTTACTGCATTTAACTGTCCATGTGAGTTTCAAGGGTCTGACTCCAGACATTTCTCTATTCTTTTGTTTCTCTATTCCTGGTTACCTTGTGACCCAAATCCAGGTCCCATGCTTGCTGTGGGGTATATGGAGATGAGCACAGCATGGGGTGGAAATGTACTTCGGGAGGCCTTTGGTCTCAAGTACGCGTAGGTTTAGGGAGGGTTGGTTCTTCCTGGAAGTTTATTTGCAGTAATTAATAGGATGCTAGAGTTAAGTTATCATTTCACTTCATGGATTTTGTGGAACATTGTTCCGTGCAAATTGGCTGCAGCATGGGACTACAAAATACAGTCACTTCATTTCACAGTAAATCCTTATGAAGCGTTTTGAGTCGTCCTGCGTACGTGAAAGACACTATATCAAATGCAAAGATCATTATTATTTACTTGGTTTATCGAGGAGTCAGATTCATCCCCTTGCTTCTGAAGTCATGATCTGGCTCTTTAGAGATGCTATCTCCCAATCATGCCAAGCTTTGAATTACAGATTTTTTAAAAAAACACAAACAGTAATTTATTTAAGAACCCTTGTGTTTCTGTCCCCTGTCGGACTGATGAGATGAAAACTTCTCTATATTCTGTGAAGTGCTTTGAGACGTTTCAACGGCATGATAAGGCGCTATAACAAATGCAAAGATTATTGTTATTATGGATGCTGCTCAAAAGGAGGTAATCCATTCAACAGAAGAAACATCCCTCAGAATAAATAGTTCCCAAAAATTAATGTCCAGAAGAGCTTTAAAAATCGTATAATGCAGCATGTTTTTAAATTGTTACAAGATTTCTATTTTGGATTGAGTGTTAGTGGATATTGAATGTCGAATGACTAACTAGTGACTATCCTCCTTCGGGGAAGGGGAGGGGGAAGAGGGAAAGTAAGTGGGGTCTCATAGACCTGAATTGGCTCCAAGGTTATCGTGCTTAATCCAGGAAATGATGTGATGCTGGTCACCTTTGTAGGACACAGGTTTTGTTTAACAGATAGGAATTTCTCTAAGTCTGGGACCTCAACCAGCAAAACAGCCACTTTTTGTTTCCGTGCTCAGTTTCCTCTTGAAAAAAACTCCATCAGTAATAGGTTCTTAAACATTGCATACATTTGAGGTTAGTTTGGCTTTCATTGTTACTTCCTTTTTGAAGTGGGTAAATAAACAGTTTGAAGCTTTACCAATGACTACAATACGCTGCAGGAAACCAGTCTTTAATCAGGAATTGCCACATTGCTGCTAAAGGTTTCCTCTGGTCTTGGGAGCTGCTATTTAACATTACTTTACAATCGGATTCCAAACTGGTTTATGGAGGTTTCATTCACTGCTACAGGATCCCATGCTCTTTACAGAATGTTTCATTTTTAATTTTTTTTAAAAAATTACACGTTTACACCTAGCAATCAAGCTGCAAAATCTAGTTCACCTCATGTTCCGCATTTCCTCTCTAAGAAAAGCAGAAGTACGCCACAAAATCACAACCAGATTACTGCAGAACTGTACAAAATATTGCACCTAAAACATCTACACCCCAAGAATTGTAGGTGAACCCTACAGGCTGTGGTAGACAAAGATACTTCTGTCCTCAATGAATAAGTTTACTTCTTACCTGTAGAATGGATAAAGATGGGCAGATGCTTCAGATGCCGAGTGGAGCGATACAGTGCAAGATATCCTCTATTCCTCACCTTGGAGTGCTGAGCATGAACATACCACCCAAAGAGAGCAAGGAGAGCCCATAGGCAAGTCTTTGCCATAATAATTATCTTTGGAACTTCTAACAGAATGACTTTTTCACAAGCGGCAGTGGATGGATTACATACAAAGGCTAGAGTAAATGACAAAGCAACAAACACCACCTAGAAAAACAAAACAAACAAAATTACTCAAGAATGCCCAATACAGTCCCAAAAATAGTAAACTAACAATAGTTCAAGGAATAATAATAATAATTATAATCCTTGCATTTGATATCACACATGACAAAACAAAGCCTCACCCACAATCCAAGTGATTTTCACCAATGTGAGAGACCTCACTAATAAAGAAAAACAATGGCCTTTCAAATGACACCACTTCATGTTTCAGCTTCACATCACTTACAATTCCTGTTAAAAACGGGAAGTTCATGTATAAATGTATTTTGCTTCTCATACCAAGCACCCAAAATCTTCAAAGTGCCTTTGGATACCTGATGCCTGACTGCACTGCCCTATCATACAACAGGAGTTGGTAAATAAGAAATACCTTACTTATGTAATATTTACATTCCATAACAGCTTTTGCAGCTTACAATAAATACCTAGAAATCACTGGTGACAACTTGGTGTCAAATTTGACATACATCACTTTGAATGTAGTTGAGGGGACTGGAGGCAAACTCCATTTACCCCCAACACATTTCTTAACGGCGACTTTTGTGAAGCTGGAATGCACTATTGGACTTCAGCAGTTGCAATTTACCAGCCAGTTAGCAAGGTAGTGACTTTTTAAACTAAAACCAACTCAAAAGATGGTATCCTCCGGCATGCTAGCCCACGTGAAGGGCGCTATATCAATCTAAGTTGTTGTTGTTGCATCCGGCTAATCAACAGCTGACTGCCACAATAAGCAAATCTTTAAATCAGACAGCGGGAAGCCCAGGTTTCACACTCATTCTCCAGATACAGACAAAATACTAAAAACAAAATAATTTTTAGAAGCTTAAAGCTAGATATTTTTTAGTAACCCTAATTGATTAATAAGATATTAACGTTGTGAATGAAAAGAAAATTGGATCTCTTGTTCAATTCTGAAAAAGGACCATTCTCAAGATGTTGGTGGTGTGGGGGAGGGGTGGAAAGAGAGATACAGCTTTCAAGGGCATTTTTAAACTTGTAATTTCTGTAAGTTGGTGAATAAATAGAAACAGTGTCACATCCACCCAACAGCATGAACAATAATTTATATAGAATAGGGCAGAACATCTCAAAGCACTGCTCACAGCTGACTTGTAGCCCGAGCTGGAGGTGGGAAGAGGTGGACAAAATCGTTATTGAAAATATGAGTCAATGCAGGCTTCGAAGGCAGACTGGAAGAGAACAAGGTCTGGTCTGTTATCTTGGTTGCAAACCCACTTGACTCAGGTGAAATTGGACTATCAAGACAGCCACAGAAGGTTGACTTGATTCCAATATTTTGTTGCCAATTTTGTCACCTTGGAGCTAGCTCAGCCCCTGCTTATCTCCTCTCCTCACCTCCACCCACAGAGAATAGTCATCAGCTAGTTAGCAGAAAATATTAATGAGGACATCATTAAAAGTCTGCGAACATATTTGCTCATTTTTAAAATTGCTAAATAGTCGCAGAGTACACTGCTATACTTAAATTCAACATTTTACAACCCAAAGAATCTCTTAAGGGAAAAGTTGCATTGAAGGAAAGCAAACACTCACGTGCAGAATTGTTAAGAGAACACTCCACCATACTGTTGACAAACTTTGGAAATAGGGCCTCAGATCACCAACCAGAACATCGGCATGGAGAAGTGGGTGATCTATTAGTGGCTCCTCTTCTAAACTTTGGGTGACATCAAAGGACGAGTTCTGCAGAAGATAAGTTATATAATAATAATCCTTGCATTTGATATAGAGCTTTATCATGTCTTCAAGACGTCTCAAAGTGCTTCACAGAATATACTTTAAAGTGAATTGACTGTATATTTTGTCAACGAAACGTGGCAGCCAATTGCCCACAACAGTGTCCCACGAACAGTCGTGAATTGAAGTGACCAATTATTATTATTTTTTTGAAGGAATTATTACTCCCGGAAAAGTGATCCACCAACTGACTAGCAACCGGGTTCCTACTTAATGCTAGGTAAACAGAGGCATGTGGAGTAAGGAAACTTGCCCTGCTGGGAATTGAACCCAAGTCTCTCACTTGCGAAGCAAGTGCTCTAACTACTGAACTACAGCACTCCACGCTCCATGTATGAATAATAATAATGATAATCTTTGCGTTTGATATAGCATCTTATCGCGTCTTTGAGACGTCTCAAATCACTTCACAGTATATGAAATGAACATCAACTACACATATACAACATTAAACGGCAAAAACTTATACCTTGCTTTTCTACTCTGTAATATTCTACGCACATAATATTGCAAGTTGATACTGCAATGGGTCTAAGGCAATATGCACAATTGGTTTGCAATTAGAGCCCTTTTCAGACTTCTCTTTTCCAATAAAATGGTCTCCTTTTGCCTAGTAGGTTGATGGGCAATATTATTACGGTCTTTAATATTCTAAAGGAACTTGATAATGTAGACCATGATGAGCTGTTTTATCTTGTACTGAACAGTAGAACCAGAGGACAAGGCCTGTGATTGAAGGGGGTAAATTCAAAAGAAATCTGCAAACACTACTTCAGTGAGTGAATAGTAAACATATGGAACAGACTCCCTAGAGAAACAATGGAAGCAGAAAGTGTTGATTCTTTCAAGAACAAATTAGATAGATTTCCTTTAGGAAATAATATCTCAGGATACAATATATAGGCTTGGGACATGACATGTGTATGCAACTGCCAGTATGGTGGAAGGCGAACTGGATGGACCTTGGTCTTATTTCGCCTAGCAAATTCTTATGTTCCTATATTGCACCATCTTTAACGGGGAACTCAACAGGCAGATGGGACCTCAATTCTTTTTATCTCACTAGTAAGATGCCACCTCAACATCAACTACACAAACACAAAATTAAATAGCAAAAACTTACACCCTGCTTTTCAGAGTGTAGCATTTCACCACATTAAACTTCATCTGCCATGTGTCTGCCCATTTTACCAGTTTGCCTATGTCCATTTGCATTCTGCTTCTATCCTCCTCACTGTTTGGTACTTTTCCTAGCTTAGCAAACTAGGTAGGTAAATCACCTGGTCAGGACTTGGATATTGTACTCCCTATACCCAAGTCCAGGTAATTTATACAGATCAAAAATAGCAGTGGTCCCAATACTGATCCCTGGGGGATACCACTGCACACTCCCCCCCCTGTCAGAAAAACAACTATTCACTGCTACTCTCTGCTTTCTGTCTCCCAGCCAGGTCTGTATCCATGCTGCCACTGTCCCTTTAATACCTTGGGCTTCTATTTTGCTTACAAGTCTAAAACCAAAAACAATAATAAATTGGTCATTTTCAATCTACGACTGTTTGTGGGACATTGCTGTGCGCAATTGGCTGCCGCGTTTGCCCACAAATATACAGTCAATTCACTTTACAGTATATTCTGTGAAGCGCTTTGGGACGTCCTCCCGACGTGAAAAGCGCTATATCAAATGCAAGGATTATTATTATTATTATTATTATTATATATGTGTCACTTTATCTTTTGAAAATCCACATAAACTACATCAACTGCACTAGCTTCATCCATCCTCTCTGTTACTTCATCCGTTAGACATGATTTGCCTTTAACAAATCCATTTTGGTTGTCCTTTATTAACCCATATTTTTCTAAGTGAATATTTATTTTGTCTTGGACTATAGTCTCCAGATGTTTCCCCACTGCTGACATCAGGCTGACTGGCCTGAAGTTCCCAGGTTTCTCCTTCTGCCACTTTTTGTCCAGGGGAGTAACATTTGCAACCCTCCAGTCCTCTGGCACCACCCGGATTGAAAGATTGTGGCCAGAGCCTCCGTTATTTCCACCCTTACTTCCCTCAGTAACCTAGGATGCATCACGTCCTGACCAGGTGATTTATCTACCTTGAGCACCAACAACCTTTTTAGTACCTCCACTCTTGGTTTATTCTTATCTAATTTCTCTACCCTCTCCTCTGATACTGCGGCATTGGCTGCATCCTCTTCTTTTGTGAAGATAGATGCAAAGTACTCATTCAGTACGTCAGCCATGTCCTCTGCCTCCACAAGAAGATTTCCTCTTTGATCCCTAATTGGTCCCTACATATGACTAACCTTTTATTCTTTATATGCTTATAAAATGCCTTAGGGTTACTTTTTATGATACACGCTAATCTTTTTTCATATAATCTCATTGCCCCTCTTATTTCCTTTTTTCAGTTCTCCTCTGTACTTTCTATATTCAATTTGATTATCTTCTGTATTTTGGGCCCAACATTTATCATAAACCTCCTCTTTCTGTTTTAATTTAATCCCAATTTCCTTAATTGTCCAAGATTGTATTTTCTGCACAACACACACACAGACACACACACATAATTTTCCAGGGTTACAGGGCTCTGGTCACAGGAAAGTCATATTTTTATATCACAGAATGAAAATGTATACACTGTATTTTGAAGCACCTCACCATGTCACAGCACTTCACGGCTAATAATAAAGTGTGACTGTTTTAGTTGAAAAACACCGGAACCCAATAAACAGCTATGGATTGATTGATCAATTAATCTGAGGATTTGTTGACTAAAACACCAAGAGTAATAGTGCCACATGACCCTTAAACATCCACCTGAACAAACAGACAGATGTGGAGGTCCTGTCCCTCAGTGGTTAGAGCACTCGCTTTGCAAGCGAGAGACCTGAGTTCAATTCCAGGCAGAGCGACACCTTGGGCAAGTTTCCTTACTCCACACGCCTGATAATAATCCCTCCAAAACAAAAAAATAAATTGGTCATTTTCAATTCACGACTGTTTGTGCGACATTGCTGTGCGCAATTGGCTGCCGTGTTTCGCCCACAAATATACAGTCGATTCACTTTACAGTCTAGTCTGTGAAGCGCTTTGAGACGTCGAGAAGATGTGAAAAGAGCTATATCAAATGCAGAGGTTATTATATTATTTTATTATACTTGATCTTGGGTCTCATTGGGAAAGAGAGCATTGTAACTATCCTGGGTACTTCCAATACTGCAAACTGTGACTACAAAGGATTCAGAACCCATAACCCAGAAAGGAGAGCACATCTCACACTCAGGTGTTCTTCTCTCTTATCATCATATCACACTCATTCAACCCCTCCTCCCCTCCTCCCCGGTGTCATGTTTAACCTCCTCCACGCCGTCACAATACCACCCTTCCCCCCACTCCCCGGTGATGTTACGCTCATCCACTCTCCATGAATAATAATAATAATCCTTGCATTTGATATAGCGCTTTTCACGTCGGGAGGACGTCCCAAAGCGCTTCACAGAACACACTGTAAAGTGAATTGACTGTATATTTGTGGGCGAACGCGGCAGCCAATTGCACACAGCAATGTCCCACAAACAGTCGTAGATTGAAAATGACCAATTTATTATTGTTTTTGGTTTTGGAGGGATTATTATTAGGCTCTGTGTGGAGTAAGGAAACTTGCCCAAGTTTCGCCCTCTGCCTGGAATTGAACTCAGGTCTCTCGCTTGCAAAGCGAGTGCTCACTGAGCTACAGGACTCCACAGTCACACTCACCGACCTCTGTGATATTACATTCACCCCCTCCTCGTGACGTGACTCTCACCCCCTCCCCATGACGTGACGCTCACCCCCTCCCCGTGACTCTCACCCCCTCCCCATGACGTGGCGCTCACCCCCTCCCCGTGACGTGGCGCTCACCCCCTCCCCGTGACGTGACTCTCAACCCCTCCCCATGATGTGACTCTCACCCCCTCCCCATGACGTGACGCTCACCCCCTCCCCGTGACTCTCACCCCCTCCCCGTGACTCTCACCCCCTCCCCGTGACTCTCACCCCCTCCCCGTGACTCTCACCCCCTCCCCGTGACTCTCACCCCCTCCCCGTGACTCTCACCCCCTCCCCATGACGTGACTCTCACCCCCTCCCCATGACGTGACTCTCACCCCCTCCCCATGACGTGACTCTCACCCCCTCCCCATGACGTGGCGCTCACCCCCTCCCCGTGACTCTCACCCCCTCCCCATGACGTGACTCTCACCCCCTCCCCATGACGTGACTCTCACCCCCTCCCCATGACGTGACTCTCACCCCCTCCCCATGACGTGGCGCTCACCCCCTCCCCGTGACGTGACTCTCACCCCCTCCCCATGACGTGGCGCTCACCCCCTCCCCTTGACGCGACTCTCACCCCCCCGTGTGATGTCACGCTCTCACCCCCCCGTGTGATGTCACGCTCTCACCCCCCCGTGTGATGTCACGCTCACCCCCCCCGTGTGATGTCATGCTCACCCCCCCCCGTGTGATGTCACGCTCACCCCCCCCTGTGTGATGTCACGCTCACCCCCCCCTGTGTGATGTCACGCTCACCCCCCCCTGTGTGATGTCACGCTCACCCCCCCCTGTGTGATGTCACGCTCACCCCCCCCTGTGTGATGTCACGCTCACCCCCGTTCCCTCGCTTGTGAGGTCACGCACACCAGCTGTGTGACGTCACTGACCTGCTGGCGGGTGGAGTTCATACCGTGTCCGGGGGTCAGAGCGAAGGCGAGAAACTCTTTGAGTCAAATCGCGGCGGCGGCGGCAGCGGCGCCCACGGCGCTGGTCAGCACCGCGCTTCCGGGTCTGTTCCGTTCAAAAAATGTCTCCCCGGCCGGCGGCGGTCTCGGGTTCCGGCCTTTATTTCGGGTCCGGGTGCGTGTCGCTCGTCGTCCGGGCGGCCGCGAACGTGTCTCGGGGACGGCCTCTCGGGTCGGATGTTAACAATAAAGCGGCTTCGGCGCATTTCTCGCTGATAATATTTACCCGTCTTCGGTGGTAGAAATGTCACGGAACGCGCTGTGTGTGTGTGTGTGTGTTTGAGCTGAAGTTATCACGCACTGTGTCCTGGTGGGTCACCCCTGGAGCTGAGGTGACCACCTTGGGGCGGTCAGGATGGAGCCAGTCCCTCTGGGGGGGGTGTGGGGGGGGGTTGGGGGGTCAGCGGTGTGTCTGACGCGGGCGGAAACCCCGCGGCTGTGGTGTCGGAGCCAAACCGGGCGTTCCGGGAGCGGGAGCGGGACCGGGAGTCGATTCACTTTACAGTATATTCTGTGAAGCGCTTTGGGACGTCCTCCCGACGTGAAAAGCGCTATATCAAATGCAAGGATTATTATTATTATTAAAGGAAAGCGAGTCGACGTTTCGGGTCCACGACGAGGTCGGGCGGCATCTACGGAGAAAGGAAAGCGAGTCGACGTTTCGGTTGTCGTGGACCCGAAACGTCGACTCGCTTTCCTTTCTCCGTAGATGCCGCCCGACCTCCCCGAGCGTTTCCCCCCAGCGACGTCTGTGCTTTTGTTTCAGATTCCCAGTACTTTGCCGTCTGGGAAATTTCCGCGTTTCCTCAGTCAGCCTGGGTTCGGAATAATCCCCGGCGGGCGGCGGCGGCGGGTTTCCGCCCGGGTCCAGACTGATCGAATGAAGGACCCCCCCCACCCCCCAAAAAAAAGAAAGGGTCAACCAGCAGTCCAAAAAGAGATGGCGCAACGATGGTCCGAAGTCTGGTGTCGATGCCTTAACCCCCTGAGGAGGACGGTTTGCTGAAGGGACGGATGGGTTTTTTTGTTCGCGTGGAGCAAACGCCAACGCAAAAAAAAAGGTCAAATGGCTTCATACTGTGTCATACACTTCCAACGCTTCTACCGTATCTCTCTGTTACACTACACCAACAGGATTGTCACTGATTTCCACTCTGGACATTATTTTTCTCTCTCTCACTCTCTCTCTATGATACGGCCAGATTATTGTTTGCCAACAACAATGAGTTATTTAAAATTGGACTGAATTTAGTTCCAACGCACAATTTAAATTTAGTTGAATTTAGCAAAGCACAATGTAAATTTGCAGGTAGAGGTCGCCTCAGGGAGTCAGGCATTTTTATTCCACGAGGAGGCGCAACTGCTTAATTCCAGAAGTGCGGTTTGAAACATAATTTAACACAGTGTAAATACGAGATAGGGAACACTTTAAAAATTACTGGGGGTGATTTTCTACAACAATAACAACAGTATAGCGCCCTCCATGCAGGGTCCCGTCTCAGAGCGCTTGACTCTGAGGTGGTGGGGGGGGCGCGGAGGTGGCTGTAAGCATGGTCGAAGAGGAAAGTCCTCAGGCGGGACTTGAAAGAGGGGAGTGAAGGGGCAAGGCAGAGAGATTGAGGGAGAGTGTTCCAGAGTTTTGGGATGTGGTGGCTGAAAGAGTGACCTCTGATGTTGGGGCAGAGGGTGTGAGGGACGAGCAGGAGGCCGATGCCAGTCGAGTGGAGGCGCCGGGTGGTGGATTGGGGAGTGAGGGGGTCAGAGAGGGAGGTGCCAGGGAGTGAATGGATTTGAACACAAATGGATTTCTATCACATTTCCAAATAAAAAAAGTGCGAAATGTGTTGCGCAATCACTGATGTTTATAATAATATTCAAGAGGGAAGTAGGTTTCAAGAGGGATGTAGACAGGTATATGAAAGGTAAAGGCTTGAATGGGGATAGGGCAAGGCAGTGGGATTGAATGAACAGCTTGCTCTGATCACCAGTGCAGACTCGATGGGCTGATTGGTCTCCAAATTTCTAAATTCAACGAAGCCTATCGCACAACTTCTTATTCTTTGGTAATGGAAAAGAACCACAACATTTAAAACTCTAGTACCAAATCATTGCACAGAGGTACAACAAAGGGCTCAGTTCAACGATGAAGTCATACTTTACAGGTTTTGATGACTTCATATCACGATTTACGACCATAAGATCCAAAGCAGAGCAATCATAATCTTTCTGGAAAGGAAAGGGCAAGAACCTGAAAACTTATAGTATTATAAATATACTGTAAGTTTGCTCACAAAATATAGTCATGTCACTTTACAGTATATTCTGTGAAGCGTTTTGAAATGTCTCAAAGATGTGATATGGTGCTATATCAAATGGAAAGATTATTATTATAATCCTTGCATTTCATAGAGGATCAAATCACATAATAATAATAATCCTTGCATTTGATATGTCTTTGTGATGTCTCACAGCACTTCACAGAGTAAACTGTAAAGTGAATTGACTGTATAATTTGTGGGTGAAATGCTGCAGCCAATTGCGCACAGCAGCGTCTCACCTTCCCCGATCCCGACCCCCAGCTCAGGTCCGAAACTCTGTCTGTCCAGCCCTTGGGACATCCTCTCGACGTGAAAGACGCTATACCAATGTAATTTTGCTGCTGTTGTTGTTGTTGTTGTTGCCGACTCTCAGTTCTACTGATTGCAGCTTCATGTTTCTGTTTTCATTGTACCATAAACATGATCAATTGAATAATATTTCAAGCATAGATGACATCACTGGAAAGCAAAATATGCATGTGTTGTTTCCATCTAAACTGTCCTCCCACACAAAGCAGGTTTCTTGTTTGGTTCACATGTCTATTATGTGTTTGTGATAATAGCTTTCCTGTTTGTCCTTCGCTGCAGTGGTTGTGGTGATGGGGCGAGGAGTGCCTTTGTGTATTATAGTCAGTTTTATTTACATAACATATAGTTGAACAGTGAATGTTATCCCACTGATTACAAGGAACAGAAGTTTTTAAAAAACATAATCAGGGTTAATTGAGGTTTGGCAATATAATATAAGGATATAAAGCCTTGAATATGGCTTTTATTTGAAAAAAGATATAATATATCACAAAGTAGTTCCAGCTGGTTGGAGGTGGTTTGAGTTGCTCATAGCAACAGGAGTTTAACTGATTTTGCAGTCTCTAACACAGGAACTGAGTTCAATTGCTGTGCTTGTACTATATTCCAACTGAGATTAGCTAACAGCACAGATAGGGAATCAGACTATCTGGATCTGTGCATCTGTTTTGTACTGGGTAATGGCTTGACAAACTGAGTGAACAGGGTGGTACAAATTAATTTAATTCATTTCCCACTCCTTTTTACTGATTTTTCTATCAACATTATATAGTATCGCCAATGTAAGGAAATAATGTTATATAGTTCCCAAATATTATTATTATTATTATTTATTAAATGATAAGACATTGAATCAAGATATTTGTGACACCATCATTTGTTTATATCATATTGCAATCCACATGGCATCATCTATATCCCCCATGGACCCCAGTACATCAAACATCAAAGAACTGACCATTTTGGGATCCCAGGCTCTATGAAAGTTTATAATTCTGTTATCAAAGAAATAACAACAATTGTACATTTAATCAGCACCTTTCTTGTCGAAAGAACATAGAGAGCTGACTGGGAATCTGAGCTGCAGAGAGGTGGGGAGGGGGAAGAAAGTTAATCAAAAATGCGGTTGAAAATTCAAGGTGAGCTTTAAAGGTGGGGACTGAGGAGTCGAGGTGGAATGTCTGAAAGCTGTCCCACAACAACAGCGGCAACTTGTAGTGTCTTGTGCCCAATGATCATGGGGTGGGATCGAACACTCAAAATGAAAGGAGGCATTTGACAACAACACCAATTTCATTTCCAGAGGCTGAGATCAAACATGGTCAGTTATTTGAATGTTGCAATTCAATTCATAGACCGGCTTCAGTAGCTAACAATATATAACCCGACCTTCAGTCAGAAGGAAACTTTTGAACATTTTGTTGAAGTTCCATGGGAAATGTTTTTGAATTCATTGGAATGTAATCAGATCAACCTCCAAGGCTAAGCAAGCTGTTCTGATTAAACTTAAATAGCGCTCTTTACGAGGGGTAGCAACTCAGATCGTTGAATCAGTGCAATCCCTAAAAAGATGCAGTGGCACCTTAATAATTTGCTTATGTAATCCACATAGATGCTATATGAATTATAAAGAGAGGTTTATTTTGTAAATGATCTTCGTATGTAAATGAATCGCTGGTTAGCATGCTTCATTAATATGCTCTCTTGCATAAAAAATTATCCTCCAAGGTGCATAAGTAAGGACAATTCTCCATTTCTAGGGCAAATTAATGTTCCAGTCAAAAGCATTTGTGCTTTTAAGTGGGAGCTAAACAATATACTTTGTTCAGCAATTTAACTAAATAAAAGTTCCTTCTCGTATATAGGAATTACTTTATGGTTTTTGATTTTCTTTTGTGCACGGTCATGTCTCTAGTTAGAATGATAAGCTTTAGCCAGGGTATATTTTGATTCTGTTCTCACTTGCAATACAATTTCAGAAATAAAGAATCTAATTTATGAGTTACATTAGAGGCAGTGTTTCAAATTAACCTAATGCACATATTGATATCCAGATGAGGTGAAATGAGCATACTTTATGATGTTTCCCTTGTAGTGAGTTTATAATAAATATAACTATTTTTAAAAATTAATTTACAGTTCTGACTGATTTGGTTTTGGCTTTGGGGCACATGCACGGAGCATGAATGAGCCTTGGAGTGGTGGGTTGTTGGTTCGATTCTCCATTCCTTTGAGTTGCCAATCATGGTTGTATCGCTGTGGGGGCTTTGAGAAGAGTTTATGCTCTTCATGACAAAGAAGAAGTCATCCTAAACCTTCCAGATGCTGGTTGGAAGTGGTTTGGCTGAGAGGTGCTTACCCTGAAATTTTTTGGGGGTCAGCCAAGGTGTCTCACACATGCGGAAACCCATCACAATGCATAAGAGTATCCGAACCAAACTGAGAATTCTATGCATCGCACCAACACGTGGAAATCCCTGAAATAGATAGTTGGGACAGTTTAGGTGCAGGTTGGCAGGCACCAAGGCTTGGTTCCCAGAGTATGCGTTGAGCTACTGCTGGAGTCTAACCAGCTAAAACCGTAGAGCTTGCCAATCAGAGCACTGTCTGAAATTTTATTAAAAGAGTTAATGTGAAAACATTACTGTCATTTTCTTTGTCTTTATTCTTCTACTGTGGTTGTTCGAGGTGCACTTCACCCAAATCACTATATTCATATTCATGTGCAAGCCTTCACAGTGAGGTTAGCAAAATCTCTGGTACCAGATTAATTTCTGCTCCCTGAACTAGTGGTGCAATCCACAGTTGTAGTGCCCCCAACTGTTTCCCCGCCTGAGATCAGTGGTTTCTGCACAGAGTGGGATTCAAACCTCTCACCTTCTGGTATGTGTGACTTAATGTTGGGCCAAATGACATGTTTCTGTGGCTGTATATTTCTTTGCAATTCGATGTAATGTAGCAGACTGAGCTTTTTGGACCATCTGTGGAACTCAATGTTTTGGAGTGTGTGATCACGCCTTTCCCACTTTGCTTCCATTTTTCACACAGGGGAAAGCAAAAAGGAAACTTCATAACAGAAGTTATGAAGCTCTCCAAATTTGATGTCACTTGTTGGCTCAAGGTAAATGACTGGGTCAATGCTGACAATGGTACTCAATTGTCTTGCATGTGAGACACATTTTCTAGGTGCTTAATAAAATAATAATATTCTTTGTATTAGGTACAGTGTTTTCACATGGGGGCGATGTCTCAAAGTGCTTCACAGGATATTGCTCCATAGGTCTCGAATATATGATAATGTGCTATATCAAATGCCAGGATTATTATTATTATTATTCGATCCTGTATTTATAAAAACAGATGAGGCAGCAATATATAGATACAAAAGCAGGCGACCTTAGTGCAATCTATAGAGAAGGTGGCAAACCAAAGAATCTTTGAGACTAGGATTTAGAGTGAAGATGTGGTAGAGGTGGTTGCAATTGTGTGAAAGAGAAAACATATACAACAGAAAACGAGAGGAAGAGAAACACCATTTTTACTGGAACTGCAAATTCAATCATCATGACCCAAATTAAATACAGTCTCTTGGGGCTGAAAGTCCAAAAGGAGCTCAAGACTAAATTAGAACAGAATACTGACGATGTACATTATAGGAAAAGGAAGTCACGTATTCAGAGATCAGGAAAAAGCAAAAGAATATGACATTAAGAAGGAAAGTGAAGGATTCAGCGGAAGATTACTCTGGATGATGTTAAATTAAATTCACATTTGCTTGCTTAGCTGCATGTTATGGAGCGTTGTCATGGTACTATTTGAAAAGTAAAGGGAATTTCTCCCAATGTCTTGGCCAAAATTCCCCCCAGAAAATAAATTAACTGTGCACTTTATAGCAGTTTGTGGGACATTGCTGTATGCAGAAAACTCATCCTTTCGATAAGATATTAAACCGAGGTCCCATCTGCCTGTTCAAGAGGACTTTAAAGATTTCATACCACTATTCGAAAAGAGAAAGGAGTTTCTTCCAGTGTCATGGCCAACAATCTCTGAGATAAAATTTGTCATTAATTTCATGGCTGTTTATGGGACATTACTGTAAGCAAATTGGCTGCCTTGCCGAAAAATTACAATCATTTCACATTTCAGTAAATCCTGTGATATTGACCACATGATAAGAAGCTGTATCAAATGCAAGGATTATAATTTAGGATCATTATAACTTTGCAAAAGGGGGGCTGCTGTAGTGTTTTAATACCGTTAAATACAGGTAAGAATATCATTCATGATTTATTAGCATTTTTAGTTTACAAACACATGCCACTGGCATGAAATATGTAATGATAAAACATGATCTACATGGCCATATTCTATATTTGAAGCAATTTAACAGCTTGAAGTTTAAGGTAATTTCAGAATTCTGCACACTAACGATCAGATGATATTTGAGACGTATAATGCAAATCCTCTTTTTTGCTAAAAAAACCTCTTGATAAAAGTTTCATGTTTTGAATAAAAGTGTAAAAAGAAGTAGTTATTACTGTATTATTATTGTTATAATAAAAGAATAACCCAGAGACCATCATTTACTGTATGGCAGTAAACTAGAATAAGAATAATAAAACGTAGTATCTTTCACTTTGGGAGGATGTCTCAAAGCGCTTCACAAGATCAATGTTCCAGTCAATTAGGAAACCACTCCCAGTCTAATTTAATTGTAAATGTTTTGAGCACATTCTGGGGTGGAGTCCTGTAGCTCAGTGGTTAGAGCACTCGCTTTGCAAGTGAGAGACCTGAGTTCAATTCCAGGCAGAGGGCGAAACCTTGGGCAAGTTTCCTTACTCCACACAGAGCCTAATAATAATCCCTCCAAAACAAAAAAAACAATAATAAATTGGTCATTTTCAATCTATGACTGTTTGTGGGACATTGCTGTGCGCAATTGGCTGCCGCGTTCGCCCACAAATATAGAGTCAATTCACTTTACAGTGTGTTCTGTGAAGCGCTTTGGGACGTCCTCCCGACGTGAAAAGCACTATATCAAATGCAAGGATTATTATTATTATATTCTCAAAATGTATTCCAATGTACATTTTGGGTCCATGTATTTGTTTACTGTTTAGCACAAAACATTTATAATGTAAACATTAAACTGCACTGTATAAGTCCAGTTATTGTATTAATAATGGGGTATATTTTCCGAGGCATTACTGTATTTCCAATTTGAGTTGAATCTGATTCACTGATATAGGTTGTTCACAAAGTCATGTTACCACCCTGCTTTTTTCTTACAATGAGTTTGTATTTTCTGTTGCAGAAGAGTCGAGCGCAACAATGTCTGATACCAGTAACTTCCTCGTGACTCCATTGATGTTACGTAAGATGTCGCACTGAACACGGCGTAGAGATCATTATCTGCCATGAAAACGATGGCGTTCACATTGTTCCTCTGGAGGTCGAAATGCAGTTAATCACTTGTACTGAATAAAATTGAGTACTTCTAAATACAATTGTCATCACTGTTCCACGTGTTTTAAGCTGTTGGTCGGCGTACTGTAGAAAAAGAAATGGGGGTAACAGGACTTTGCGACCACCCTGCGCTCCAGCCTGCGCCATGTCCTCCGCCCGCCCGCCCGCCCATCGGCGGCCGGGTCTTCAGCCTCCCTGCCCCCCACCCTCCGGAACTCCATCCCGCAGCCCCTCCGCCTGGCTCTCTCTTGCCTTCTTCGAGACCCGTCTCAAGACCCTCCTCTTTGTCCGCGCCTTCGGTCGCCCTTCTACCCCCACCCTCCCCGCCGTCCACGCTCCCCGCTCCGCCCCCCCCCCACCACCCAACCCAACCCAACCCCCTGCACGGGTCCAACCCCCTGGACTGTGCAGCCCCTGGGGATGTCCTCCTGATGTGAAAGGCGCTCTCCACACATGTGTAAGTTGTTGCTGTTGACGCATAAATGCACTTCACGTAAAAGTTTGAAGCTCAAATGATTGCATTTCACTGCACATGACGGCCTGAAGCACAGACAGATGTCACCAACTCACAGCACATGCACTGCAGCCAGAACCCCCCCCACACACACACCCCCCCACCCCCCCGCACACACCCCCACCCCCCCGCACACACCCCCACCACCCGCACACACCCCCACCCCCCACACACACACCCCGCCCCCCACACACCCACCCCCCCCCCACACACCCCCCACCCCCCGCACACACCCCCACCCCCCACACACCCCCACCCCCCACACACCCCCACCCCCCACACCCCACACCCCCCCCACACCCCACCCCCCCCCCCCCGCACACCCCCACCCCCCCGCACACACCCCCACCCCCCCCACACACCCCACCCCCCCGCACACACCCCGCACACACCCCCACCCACCCCCCGCACACCCCCCACCCCCCACACACCCCCCCCCCCGCACACACCCCCCCCCCCGCACCCCCCCACCCCCCCGCACACCCCACCCCCCCCACACCCCCCCACCCCCCCCCCCCCCCCCCGCACCCACCCCCCCCACCCCCACACAGCCCCCCACACCCCCCGCACACCCCCCCCACCCCCGCACACACCCCCACAGCCCCCCCACACCCGCACCCCCCCACAGCCCCTCCCACACCCCCACCCACGCCCCCCCCCCCACTGGGTGCTGCAGGGCGTCTGGAGGCGTTAACAACGCTGCAGGTTGCGGGCACTCGTCCCGTTACCCCTCCCCCACAGATAGCGGGGGGGGGGGGGGGGGTTGGCTCTGAAGTCCTCCAAACCAGAGGGGGAGCCCGCGGTGCGGCCTCGCCCGGTCACCGACAGTGTGTAACAGAGAGAGGGAGAGGAGGGCTCGCGGTGCGGTGCGGTGTGGGATGGGGATGGGGAGGAGACAGACGGTGTGAGTGGAGGCGAACCTGAGCTGCTGTGCTGACGACGAGGAGCGTCTGTGTGAAGTGAAGGCGGCGGCGGCGGAAGGGAAAGGGAACGGGAACCGGAGAGGCAGCGCCTGCGGGTCCGCAGCCCCTCCCCCCCTCCCCCCCCCCCCGGCACTCCCCCCGCGCGGACCCTCGCGGACACTCGCGGCAGTTGCTCGGCCGCGGGAGAGACAATGGAGCGGCCGCGCGGCGCCCACAGACCCCACACGCGGCGGCGGCGCTGAGCTTCCCGAGAGCAGTGGAATGGTGCGGAGCGCCGCGTTCCCTCTGCGCGTTCTGGGACAGTCCTCAACAATGGAGATCCAACAGATGTGAGTGTCCGCGCGCGTCCCGCCACTGACCGGCACCCACTGACCAGCACCCACTGACCGGCACCCACTGACCAGCACCCACTGACCAGCACCCAGTAACCAGCACCCACTGACCGGCACCCACTGACCGGCACCCACTGACCAGCACCCACTGACCGGCACCCACCGACCGGCACCCACTGACCAGCACCCACTGACCGGCACCCACTGACCGGCACCCACCGACCGGCACCCACCGACCGGCACCCACTGACCAGCACCCACTGACCGGCACCCACTGACCAGCACCCACTGACCGGCACCCACTGACCGGCACCCACTGACCAGCACCCACTGACCGGCACCCACTGACCGGCACCCACTGACCGGCACCCACTGACCGGCACCCACCGACCGGCACCCACCGACCGGCACCCACCGACCGGCACCCACTGACCGGCACCCACCGACCGGCACCCACCGACCGGCACCCACCGACCGGCACCCACCGACCGGCACCCACTGTCTGCACCCACTGACCGGCACCCACTGACCGGCACCCACTCTGCACCCAGTAACCAGCACCCACTGTCTGCACCCACTAACCAGCACTCACTCTGCACCCACTAAGCTGCACACACTCTGCACCCACTAACCAGCACACACTCTGCACCCACTAACCAGCACACACACTGCACCCAGTTACCAGCACACACTCTGCACCCAGTAACCAGCACACAATCTGCACCCAGTAACGAGCACAGACCGTCTGCACCCACTAACCAGCACCCGCTCTGCACCCAGTAACCAGCACCCTCTCTGCACCTACTAACCAGCACCGACTGTCTGCACCCACTAACCAGCACCGACTGTCTGCACCCACTAACCAACACCCACTCTGCATCCACTAACCAGCATTCAGTCTGCACCCGCTAACCAGCACACACTCTGCACCCAGCAACCAGCACACACTCTGCACCCGTTAACCAGCACACACACTGCACCCAGTAACCAGCACCCACTCTGCAACCTGTAACCAGCACACACTGTCTGCACCCAGTAACCAGCATACACTCTACACCCAGTAACCAGCACACACACTGCACCCAGTTACCAGCACACACACTGCACCCAGTAGCCAGCACACACTGTCTGCACCCACTAAGCAGCACACACTCTGCACCGAGTAACCAGCACACACTGTCTGCACCCACTAACCAGCACCCGCTCTGCACCCACTAACCAGCACACACTGTCTGCACCCACTAACCAGCATTCACTCTGCACCCACTAACCAGCACACACTTTGCACCCGCTAACCAGCACACACTGTCCACACCTGTTAACCAGCACACACTCTGCACCCAGCAACCAGCACACACTCTGCACCCAGTAACCAGCACACACCGTCTGCACCCGCTAACCAGCACACACTGTCTGCATCCGTTAACCAGCACACACACTGCACCCAGTAACCAGCACCCACTCTGCAACCTGTAACCAGGACACACCGTCTGCACCCAATAACCAGCACACACTCTGCAACCTGTAACCAGCACACACTGTCTGCACCCAGTAACCAGCACACACTCTACACCCAGTAACCAGCACACACTCTGCACCCAGTTATCAGCGCACATACACACACACACCACTGTCTGCACCCAACACACACACTGACTCTGCACCCAGCATTAAGCAAACACACACCGCTGTCTGTACCCAGCAATCAACACACACACACCATTGACTGCAACCTGCCATCCCCTCCCCTCACATACACAAATAATAATAATGATCCTTGTATTTGATATATCGCGTCTTTGAGACGTCTCAAAGTGCTTTACAGAATATGATGTGGTTCACAGAATATGGTGCGCTTTATTTGGTGTGGTACATAATATAATAAAATAATAATCCTTGCCTTTGATATAGCGCTTTTCACGTCGAGAGGACGTCCCAAAGCGCTTCACAGAACACACTGTAAAGTGAATTGACTGTATATTTGTGGGCGAACGCGGCAGCCAATTGCGCACAGCAATGTCCCACAAACAGTCGTAGATTGAAAATGACCAATTTATTATTGTTTTTTGGGTTTTGGAGGGATTATTATTAGGCTCTGTGTGGAGTAAGGAAACTTGCCCAAGGTTTCGCCCTCTGCCTGGAATTGAACTCAGGTCTCTCACTTGCAAAACGAGTGCTCTAACCACTGAGCTACAGGACTCCACAGAAAGATTGATTACACCCAGGCCCCCCCCCCCCCCCCCCTCACACCTCCCCGCACACACAGCACAGAGAGACTGACTGCATCTCGGGGACACCCGCGTCACAGACAGCGTGCAGCCAGGGGACAGCCCAGCCCGGCACCTGCCAGACTTCAGCCAGGGAACAGGGAGGACACCCAGCCACAAGGAGGAGATCATCGTAGACCAGTGGTGGGCAAATTTTTTGGTCGTCCCAACACAATAAATTTTGTTGATTGATTTATGCCATAAATCAAGAAATATTCAACCCCAAAAAACTGGAAACAAAAACATTGTTTTAAAACACTCACCAAGATTCGTGTGAATGTTCAGTAGGACCACGCTTGACAGCCTTGCAGGCAACTTCCGGCCCGTGGGCCATTGGTTGTCCACTGCTGCCCTAGAGAGAGGGCAGGAGAGTGTTGGATTAAATTAAACGTGATCTGAAGAGAAAGGCAATTCAAATTGTTAGAATATTTGCGAAATATTGTGACTATTGAAGAATCTTGAGGCTGTAAGTGAGGTTAGTTAGGTCAGAGGATAAGGAAATCTCCCCTGTTCAGTGTGTACAATATTTTGTTGGGGGAGTGTTTCTCCATGAATGTGTCTTGTATCAACATATAATATAGCTGTCTTGTTTTTAAGTGTATTTTAGTAAGTATTGCTTTGGACCCCCCCTACCCAGATACAGATTTGTTGGTCTCCTGTCTAAATGTAGAGTCCTAAACAATATCTGGCTTAAAGGGGACACACATTATGACGAACATATTGTATTTGGTGCAACCCTTTTAAGTTGAGAAAGAAGATACTTATGTTATTAATCACAGTGCCTGTTTTGATTCATATCATTGCGTTGTTTGTCCATCCCTATATTTTCATATATTTTTCTTTTTATTTACAAACACGATTTGTATCCCTCCTTTTGGGAAAGAATGCAGCCTCTTGCTTTTTTTGTTACAACTTCATCCAGTATTTATTTGAGGAGAGACTTCTGTATTTATCAACACAAACAAATATTTACTGTTTCTTCTAGAAAACTCTACTTGGATGCGAGTAAAGATTCAGTAGGTTATCTGGTGTGGTGCTAAATCAGAAAGACTAGGAGAGTCCTGTATTCAGCCGCTGATCTCAGTTAACTGACCTAATCGTTGGTGGAGGGGCCACAGTTATTCTCAATGTCCTTTGTTGGTGAGAAGGTTGTGCATGATTCCTGCTTCTAAGTACCATACTCGAAATAGGTTCTGATAATTTTTTTGTGCCCTCCCCAAGATGAATACATATTTGGGTAAGGGACCATCAGTTTTCCATGTGAAGAATCTTCCCTCAGTTCCTTTAGGAAAGGGAGAATAATCAGACGAAAAATTGTGAAGGAAAAAGAATGTGTAAATCTGAACATTTTTCAATGTTAGAATAACACCCAGTGAATAAACCCCAATTTTAAATTTGTTGTATTGAAATTTAAACTGTTTTAGAAAGCTTTTGGTATTGGGGGAGAGGGCAGGAATGCACCTGTTAAGTTATTAAGAGCGATGTTGAGGAATGGATATAATAAAATATCAAAACTTAATGAGTTCCAGCTTCCACATACGAAGTGCAACTTTCTGTTCTCTCTTTTCTCCCATCTTCCCCTCCTCCCCACATACAAAAACAACTTGAATTTATATAGCGCCATTCATGCTGGGCGGTGTCCTACGGCTCTTAACAATGGTGGAGCTCAATGCTGAGCCGGGGGGAGGAGGAAGGTGACCATAGGCATGGTCGCAGAGGAAGGTCTTCAGGCACAATCTGAAAATGGGGAAAGAAGGGGCAAGGCGAAGGGATTGAGGGAGGGAATTCCATAGCTTCGGGGTGTAGTGGCTGAAGACATTTAACATACAATATTTAACAAAAGATCATTATTTTAAATATGGCAACATTCCCAAAGCTTCGTCTATAGAGACGACGGGTCTAATTTGTGATAGTTACAAATGGAATCGTTGTGTTAATTGCAATTTTTCAATTTGCTAAAATCCCAATTTACAGTGTAAAATATCACATGCATATCACGTTTACCGTTGTAAACTGCTGTGAATGGCATCATTGTGTCACTGCGCAAACTGGTACCAGTATGCTACGAGGAAAGAAAATATCACAACAGCCCGTGTTGCTTTGTTCGTGCCAACATCCTTCTTAATTTGCTTGTAATTGATTGCCTCAGATTGTGTCGAATTCCACCACCACCATTGATAGATATGTAACTATTGAGACTTAATTGTACTATTGTGTAGCTTCAAATGCTTTCATTAACCAAAACCCACGTTTGAAATGACAAAATCGACCATACTGTCATAACCGTGGGTATCCTGCTTCACAGTTCAAGTGGACAAAGTTTGAAAATGTCACAAACCTTGTATTTTCCCAGTTCTGTATAGAATTTCCCTCCATCCTTGAGTTTAATCTTTGTTCAACACCGGAATTTGCATCATGTAATGGGGGTTACTTCATATACCGTGTTCATACCTGTGTTGCTGCATGGGACGAGCTGGTTTGTTTTTCATGAAGGGGTTTCAGCAGTTTTGTTTCTTAAGAGTAATTAGACTTTAATATTCAAATGAGTAATAAGCCCCTTATTATAATTAAGTTTGAAAATTTAAGCAAATCCATGAATTTGATTTTATTATCATTTATAATGTTGCTGCCCATTCTTAATGGATTATTCCAAGCGCTCCGGGAAACTACCCCGTGTGAAGGGCGCTATACTGATCAAGCTGTTATCATACCAATCAGTATGTTGTGTAT